TAAATAGTAGCCTTATTTTATTAACAGTCTATATTAAAGCTCATGGTTAATGTATGTATATATAAATCAAAAAATGTTATTAGCCACATTTGTACTAAATATATTTTATTCTTTATAATACATGTAGATATTATATATGCTTGTTTGATATATTTTGTCTTTTATATATTTCAAATCATATTAATTATTTAATTATTATTTTAAACTCCTTTATTTGTTCATATATAATTTAATATTTTATTCAAATATTTTAAAGAACACGCATTTAAAGAATGGGTATGAGAAGTACCGCTTGATCGAAGTAGTACGATTCGATACAACATTCGAACAAAATGTGAACTTGAAATAAATCGAGTTTATTTTTATAAAGATGATAATTAATTTATTTTTATTTTAATTTAAATGATGCAATATATATATTTCTTTAAATAGTAATTTATTTTATATAGTTATCGATATTCCATTTATATTCGATTGTGATTTTTTTCTTGAAATTGGAGATGAGAACATATCTCGTGTAAAGGAGAAATAAATGGGATAGTCTTCCTATTGGATGATGTGCAAATCATATGATTTCTTTTCAAACTAAGGAATATTCCCTAATTCGAAACAAATTATTCAATCTTCAATACAAGGATCACACTTTAAATATTGATTCGAATTTATGATGTCCACCATTTACGATAAATAGTAATCAACCAGGTACCAATTTTGGGCGTTGTGGGGTGTTAATAATTCCCCACGCTTAATCGACTCTCGGATCATAAAAACAACTTTTTGGTAAATGCATACCAACTTTTGTCTTTTAAATTATTTTATTTCCTAAATTATTTTAAAATACGTTTTTAGGTACTCGACCTACCTAACTTAAATGCCGATGACGACTCCTAATCAATTTAATCAAATTAATTAAAAAATTCCAACTTTTTTAAAATAAAGTAATAATTGTTTTTTTAAATAAAAAATTTCAAAAATGATTCTGACAAATCTTTTTATCAACTTTTTCGATATTTAAAAGTGTTGATCATTACCCCATAAGTATGTTTTTTGTTTTCTCAATTCACTCTAAATAATCAATATTTCTTTATCCAAAATATTCTTAGGCGCAACTCATAATATATTTTGTTAAAGTTAAAATAACATTTTGGGCACAACATATTTTATTAATAAAAATACTAGCATTCCAGGTCATAACTTAATTTTTTAGTGAACAATGACCTTATTGGACATAACTATATTTATTATATATATTCATAATATTTTTAGTTTTTAAATTATTTTGTTATCGTACAAAAATCAACTTAAACTCCGATAACATGGGTGCGACTCATTTTATTAATAAAAATATTAATGTTTCAGATCGCAACTTACTTTTTAAGTAAATCATGGCATTCTTGGACATAACTGTATTTATTATAGTTATTCATAACATTTAGCTTTTAACTTATTTTGTTATCATAGAAAAATCTAAAGCTCCATCAGCTTAAACTCTGATAACATTTTAGGCACAATCTATTTTATTAATAAAATTATTAAATTTTAGATCGCAACCTATTTTCTTAGTGAACTATGACATTCTTGAGCGTAATTATATTTATTGTAAATATTAATAAATTCTTAATTTTTTACTTATTTTATTATGATGAGAAAATCTAAGACCCATCAACTTAAACTCTTATAACATTTTAAACTCAATTTAAATTATTAATCATAATATTTATAACTTATTTTCTTACGGTTTATAACATTTTAATACGATTAAGAACTTTTTTAATTTCGAATTATAACATTTTATATTCTACTACAATTTTAACCGATAACACCATTTATTAGCCCTAACTTCTCATTCCCATAGTATTCATACCATTTCCATGTTGAAGCTCACGAAAACTCAAACCTTTCTTATAGCAAATCATGAGAGATTTCGCCTTTTACCTCTTTCTCAACTTGCTGCAATTGCAGATACTCAACAAACTTTGCTTATATCCCAAACCCATGCACAAAAGCCATTGGAATCTCATTCTCCATTCATTATAGATCCCCAGAATTTTGTCTCTGCCTTGTTAAACTGCAAAAACGTCTTTCAGATCAAACATGTTCATGCCCAAATAGTTGCCAACGGTCTTTTAAATAACCTCTTTGTTTCAAATAAACTCCTTTACCTATACGTTCAACACAAGGCCATACGTGAAGCCCATGCTTTTTTTTGGTGGAATGAGAGAGAGGGACCCGTTTTCTTGGAGTGTTATGGTTGGCGGGTTTGCTAAAGCTGGTGACTTCGATAATTGTTTTAGAACTTTTAGGGAGCTTACTAGGTGTAGTGCTCAGCCTGATAATTATACTTTGCCTTTTGTTTTAAGAATTTGTAGGGAGAGGATGGACTTGTTAATGGGTAGCTTAGTTCATGGTGTTGTTTTGAAATCTGGTTTGTGTTTGGATCACTTTGTTTGTGCAGCACTTGTTGATATGTATGCCAAAAGTAAGGCCATTGACGATGCGCGTAAATTGTTTGATGATATGCCAAAGAGAGACCTTGTAACTTGGACTGTTATGATAGATGGGTATGCTGAGTGTGGGAATGCTAAAGAATCGTTGGTTTTGTTTGACCGGATGAGAGATGACGGCCTTGCTCCGGATAAGGTCACAATGGTGACTGTGGTTAATGCTTGCGCCAAATTGGGTGCCATGCAGAAGGCTAGACTTGTTCATGATTATATTTGTACAATGAAGTTTAGTTTGAATGTGATATTGGGTACTGCGATGGTTGATATGTATGCAAAGTGTGGGAGTGTAGATCTTGCGAGGGAAATATTCGATGGGATGTGGGAGAAGAATGTAATTACTTGGAGTGTGATGATCGCAGCTTATGGTTACCATGGACAAGGCAAGAAGTCGCTTGATCTATTTCAGATGATGTCGAGTTGTGGGATAATGCCAAATAAGATAACCTTTGTTTCTCTTTTATATGCTTGTAGTCATGCTGGCTTGGTCAATGAGGGTCTCGAGCTTTTCGACACCATGTGGGACAAATATGGTGTGAGACCAGATGTGAAGCATTGCACTTGCATGGTTGATCTCTTAGGTCGAGCTGGGAGGCTCAATGAGGCCTTGAAGTTAATAGAGAACATGACAGTAGAGAAAGATGACGGACTATGGAGTGCTTTGCTGGCGGCATGTAGAATCCATAAGCAGGTAGAGTTGGCAGAATGGGCTGCAAAATCACTTCTCGAAATTCAGCCACAGAATCCGGGCCACTACGTGTTACTCTCCAACATTTATGCGAATGCCGGTAGGTGGGAAGATATGGCGAAAATTAGGAACCTGATGACGAAAAGGAACTTGAAAAAGATCCCGGGTTGGACTTGGATTGAAGTGGATAACAAGATTCATCAGTTTAGTGTTGGGGACAAGTCTCATCCTCTGTCAAAGGAGATACATGGATTGCTGAAGAGTCTGATCGAGAAACTGGAGTTAGCTGGTTATGTTCCAGATACGAATTTCGTGTTACATGATGTCGATGAGGAAGTTAAGGTTGGAATGTTGTATACACACAGTGAAAAGCTGGCTATTGCATTTGGTCTCATTGCCACACCTGAGGGATCTCCTATCAGGATTACAAAGAACCTTAGAGTTTGTGGTGATTGCCATACATTTATTAAGTTTGTATCAGCTGTTACAAAGAGGACGATTATCGTCCGAGATGCGAATCGGTTTCACCACTTCAGTGAAGGGGCTTGTTCATGTGGGGATTACTGGTAATTGGACGGTTAGTTTTCTACCTACAGCTTTTGAGGTTAGGAAAACCAGCCTGTCCCGGGATTTCGACGACGATGTAAATGTTCCGGATCAGTTAACAATAAACATTAGGATGATATTGTTGCTAAGTCCATGGAGATTGAAGTATCAACGGATTCAGAAGATGAAGTTCTCTTTCATATCCAAGTGTAGTGTCAAGGCACGCTGACAGAACCTTCACTTACATCTTTTGCCTTCAATGGAATTGGACTAGATGTTTATTTCTGTATTTTTTTACATTATTTTCTTACTTTTTAAGTTGAGTTATGCTGATTTTTTGTTAAGTAATTAACTACTAATTTATTTTCTATATTTATTTTATCTATTCAGTTTATTTATTTTTTAAAATAATAAATGAAGAATAAAAAAAAAATAAGATTATGGTTGATTTGATTTTTTTTGTTGTTATTATTTTAATGGGTTATAGCGAGGAGGTTATCCATTATAACTGATATTCTATTTACATGTTATCCACCAAAATTTTAGTAAGAAAATATTTTATTTTTATCAATTCAGTTAATTTGTTTTTGTATAAAAAAAATTTTGAGCACTTTTATATAAAAAATTAACGATAATAAATGAAATACTTAAATAAATGATTTCACAATTTTTAAGTATTTTTTTTATTTATTTTGAATTTTCATATTTTTAAGAAAACAAATTTAATGCACGTGAGTGTAATCAACAACAATGCAATTAGAAGGGCTCGTTGGTTGCCATTCTTTATATATATTTTCTCAATTGAAATATAATTGAAAATGAGGATTTAATTATTTTTCTAGTACAATTAGAGGGACCATGTGTATATTTAAACCAAAATAGAATGACATAAAATACCCGCAAAAATAATGAAATCAAATAACTTGTTTTAATATAGACACTAAATTAGTTAAATTACAAAATCAAATACAAAATTGTCGATATAATAAGGATTAAAGGAGTACAACTAGTTTACTTTAAGGGTTTTTTTTTTCAAAAAAGAAAATGAAAAAAAGAATTTGAGTGAAACAAAAATTCTAAATTTAATGTTAAGTAAATCACCTGTAATTTCAAATAGATCTCTATTCTATTTGAACTATGTTTCTTGCTCCGTCCCCTATATAAATCAATGTTATACTCACAATTTCATTCATTCATAAATTTTTTAACTTTGCTTTCGAACTTCAACTGACGATGAAGTTTTCAGATTTTCTGTTTTGTTATTTTATTTTGGGTTGTTTTTGTGTGATAAGTACCAATGGAGTGGAAGCATCTCACAAGGTTTACGAAAATCTACAATCTCACGCTGCAGCAACTGTGAAACAACTCCATCGAAGCGGCTATCACTTTCAACCTCCTATGAACTGGATCAATGGTAAATTGTCTTCTTCTTTTAGTTTTTGAAAAAATATTTATTCAGTTAACATGATGAACAAAAGAAATAACTTAGGTTGGTTTGCTTCATTGGTTTTGACAATTTACTAAATTAATTAGTCAATTAATTTTGAAGTTATATATACATATATATATTATTTATTTTATAATTTTTATCATGTAACGTGGATTTATACATGCATAGACTAACTTGTTTTGATTTTGGTTCATCAATGGTGGACTGCTTGAATGATCCCTGACGACAGATCCGAACGGTAAGTCTTCCAACAAAACATTGTCTTTCACTTTTCATATGTTCATTTTAACTATCATTCCCCTTTTTTTTTAATTTTTCTATGTTCTAACCGTTCATACGTTATTCTCACACGTATTTAATCAAATAGGTCCAATGTATTACAATGGGATATACCATTTATTCTACCAATACAACCCCAAAGGTGCAGTCTGGGGCAACATTGTTTGGGCTCATTCAGTATCTAAAGACTTGATCAATTGGGAAGCTCTCGAACCGGCAATATACCCTTCGAAGCACTTCGATATCAACGGATGTTGGTCTGGTTCTGCCACCGTCCTTCCGAACAACAAGCCTGTAATTTTCTACACAGGGATCGATCCCGACAATTATCAAGTCCAAAACTATGCGGTTCCGGCCAACTTGTCTGACCCTTATTTGCATGAATGGATCAAACTGGATGACAACCCCATCGTCGTTGCCGATGAAACCATGAACAAAACCGCCTTCCGTGATCCAACAACTGCTTGGAAGGTCGGTGGGCATTGGAGAATGTTGGTGGCTAGCCGAAGGAAACATAGAGGAATGGCTTATTTGTATAGGAGTAGGGATTTTAAGAAATGGGTGAAGGCCAAACATCCTTTACATTCCGTGGCGAATACTGGTATGTTTGAATGTGCAGATTTTTTCCCAGTGTCATTGTATGGGGACAATGGCCTTGATACCTCTTCTGTTGGTCCTAACGTAAAGCATGTTCTCAAGGTGAGCTTGGATCTTACAAGGTTTGAGTATTACACTATAGGTTCATATATCCCAGAACCTAGGGATAAATATTTGGTGGACAAGAACTTTGTTGATGGTTGGGAGGGGCTTAGATTCGACTATGGCAACTATTATGCTTCAAAGACATTCTTTGACCCTTCAAAGAATAGAAGGGTTTTGTGGGGTTGGTCTAATGAATCCGATACAGCTCAAGATGATATTAATAAAGGATGGGCTGGTCTTCAGGTAATGTTTGTTGATTCATTTGAAAGATGATATTTTGATTTGTTTGTTCTTGGTGAAGTGACTTTCATGGCGTTTATTCTCAGACAATTCCAAGAAAGCTGTGGCTTGATCCTAGCGGGAAGCAATTGTTGCTGTGGCCTATAGAAGAAATAGAGACTCTAAGAGGCCAAAAGGTTCAATTAAGCAATCAAAAACTCAAGTTGGGAGAACCTGTTGAAGTCAAAGGAATCACTGCTGCTCAGGTTTGATCTGCTTTACATTGAAACCCTTTTTAATTTTTTTAATTATTTGATTTGATTTAAACCAAAATTCAAAAACGAGTTTCTCACTGTTTTGATGATCTCCATAGGCTGATGTTGATGTTACCTTCACCATACCAAATTTGGATAAAGCTGAAGCATTTGATCCGAGCTGGACCAATGCTCAAGATCTTTGTGGTTTAAAGGGATCAACTGTTCAAGGTGGCGTTGGACCATTTGGGCTATTAACATTAGCTTCGGAGAATCTAGAAGAATACACCCCTGTTTTTTTCAGGGTATTTAAAGGTCAAGACAAGCACGTTTTTCTCTTGTGCTCAGATGCTAGCAGGTTTCTTTTTTGCCTCTGTAGATCCATATCACTTCTTTTCTCATATCTAACTTTTAGATTTATTTTGACTAATTTTGTGTTGCATTGTGGCAGCTCTTCCTTGAGGGAAAGTGGGCTATACAAGCCCTCATTTGCTGGATTTGTAGATGTAGATTTGGCTGCTGAGAAGAAGATTTCTCTTAGGAGTTTGGTAACATACATGCCCACTTTTATGAACATTATTTTCTATCTTCTTTCTCTGACTTTCCTGCCTTTTCTATTCTCTGCAGATTGATCACTCCGTGGTCGAGAGTTTCGGAGCTGGGGGGAAAACATGCATCACATCAAGAGTATATCCGACTCTTGCGGTGTTTGACAATGCCCACTTGTTCGTATTTAATAACGGGATTGAGACGATAACTGCCGATGTTGAAGCTTGGAGCATGGGGAAGCCTTGTAAGATGAACAATTGAAAGGATCATGATATATATAGATATAGAAGATTTTAGGTTTAGGTACAAGAAACAATAACTAAAAGTCTTTAATGTATTCTGCTATTCTTTTTAGCTATGGTGATTTTATTTTTATGGGATTTATAGAATTTCGCTATTTAATATTGAGTTGTTTTAGCTTTGTTTGCACTTATCGACATAGCTTAATCACATTATAAAATTCCAAAGGAACCCTTATGAAGAAAACACCAGTTTAAGAATATGCTCTTGAAAATTTGACAATTTATAACATAATTTGAATAAATTTGATTGTGGAAGATGGTGTAACATACCCAAATATTGCTAATACAAAAAGGTCCATAACCTCTATTTAATAGTTTGTTTGTTTTTTTTTTTGACAAAGAGCAAGAAATTAGCACTGAACTCCACTGTTCACCAAAACAATAGCTATTTAATGGGAGATTGTCAACTCTGTTAAACGCAGACAATTACCCTTTGATTTCCTTGTCAGCTGGGAAGCCTTTTGTTTCAGATACTATGACTACAGTTGTCTCCAAAACCTTAGAACACTATTGCTGTCCAGAACTTATCGACATATTCGATACTGAGCGTCTGTGCCTCCTGTCAACCAATCTGCTGGAAGTTCGAAAGAGCTCACGTTTAATACATGTTACACCAGTGTTGCAGTTGATGCTTTGGCTCGCGGTAGAGTACCTTTTGAGCAGGCTTCACCTGAAAATATTCCCACAGAAGATAGTTCAGTAAGAAGAGTGGCAAAGGTGAGAGGTCAACCAAATACTCTTTTTTTTTTTTTTGGATAGATGAAAAAATAGTGGATCTTTGTTACGATCGATTTCCTCATCGAGCTTTTGACCAGCTCTCCTCTTTCCATAAACCTCTATATGATTTGATCGCAATGACAATGTCTCTCGTACAAGACTGGAAAGGAAAGAGTAAAAGGAACATCGGCAACAAAACAAGCCGGGAGCAGAGAAATTTGAACACATAATCGAAGCGTAAAAACATATTGAGAAACATATGTTGAGGTGTAAGGAGAAATATCCAAAATTTTCGTGTGTTTCTTACTCTCACTCTGGAAATATCAATTCAAACTTAATTCTAAAGATGGATGCTTATAAAAGTAGTTTGGTTTCATTTGATTTCTAATTTTCACTAATGTCAAATAACTGGCCTTACCGTTGGAGCATATATCGAATTAAAATACACCCTTTCTCAGGAGTTTAAGCCTTAGGTCTTTGCCACCCCACACATGTTCACGATACCTATAATAACCAGAGCCAATATAGTTAAACATGAGAACATCCCCACACTATTTTTTTTGGTATAAACTGCAAAAATTTGGTCTCTCGATCTCAATATGATTCTCAAAAGTTAAATTCCATCCATGGAAAACAATATTCTTTGTGCATTTAGCAATACAGGAGATCCTTTCTTGGTTTTCTCCACAATTTGCTGTATCAATAGCTTCTCCATTTCATCATATCTCTACATTCATCTTCACTTACACTCACAAGTAGTTCCTGGACCCTTGAAGTTTGATCTTCCGATGTTCTTACCTGATCATAAAATGTTCCATCAGACCTGTTTGCATCGTATTGATCACCCCAAGACTGCTTTTCGTGATAATTATTCCGATAAAAGGAAATGGTGTGCCCTCTTCTGTCACCTCTTCCTAAGCCTCATTGTATGCATGACCTGGAGTTTCCTATGATAATTTCAGGACTTGAGGCTTCGACGTACAATGGAGATCTTCATTAAGTGGTGGACTCTCCAGTGCTGTTGAGAATTTCAATTTGTTATTAGGATTCTTCTGCTCTGATTCCATTAGTTTCACCTTCCTCTGGCTGTTCTCGAGGGCTGTCTCAAGTTCTTGTACTCGTTCTTCAAGCCTTGACTGAATCACCTCATGCAAACGCAAGCTCAACTCTCGGGGAGAGACGACGTAATTTGCATAATGAGCAGTTGAGGTGCCGCTTCTATCTTCATTAGACATAGATTGAACAAGAGGCTGTCCGGTGACCATATCAGATCTCAATTCACCTTCAGCAAAATCTGCTACAAAATCTGGGTCAATCTCGACGAGATCGGGCAGTCTACGCTCATGATTTGGTACATCCATGTTTAGCCCCAACCTCTCAAGTTCGGCTTCGATTTTACTCAAAGATTCCACACTTTCCTCTATCTTCTGATGATATGGTTCTTCTGATTCATAATTCTCATTGACTAGCTCCTTCACCGTTAATGAATCTTTCATTTCGAGAAGCTCTTGAACCAAGTTTGCAGCCTGCTTTAACAATCCTCTCAATTTCTCAACTTCCCATCTATTTCCTATACAATAACATATTATTCCAATAGAAATCCCGAGACAAAACTGAACCACTCGATCATAACGACCCCAATGTGAATGAAACTGCTTTTCGGAAGCAATTTTGCAAGAAATGTTTGGCCTTCCATCACGCTCATTTCCACTCTTACAACTCTTACATTTCAACTTCTCAGGGAGATCTGGTGAACCGAATATTGGCAATGGAGGAATTGCGTACACACATCCGTTCTTTTCAAAGGCGGCCTGATTATGCAGCTTATTGTCCTCGATTTTATTTGATCCGTTAGAAAATCACCACTTACTCTGTTGATTACTCGGCTTCCATCGGTTATCAGCAAAGGTCTCAAGATCGGTGTTGCTGGTAACGAAACGGAACTAAGCATGTACGCCTCCATTTTGACATGTTGCATATGTAGTTAAGCCATGAGACGACTATCTAAGGAGCTTAGCGGTTAAAGTACACGCCCATACGAATGTTTAGTTTTAAGAGAGCTTCTTTTCCGCATAGACTCGTTAAAAGAGTCTATTCTAGTGATGGTAGCAGAATCACTACCGCTATCGGCACCTGGCTCTTTTCCAAATTGACCTTCTCTTTGGTTTTCATTTGTCAACGATCCTGGTTATAAACCTGATAAAGAAATCTCATTGGATATGCTGATTCCCCCCATCTTTTCACTATGGAAACCACTAGCAGAATCCATTTCAGCAGCTGAAGCCACACTTAGTCTGTAAGTATCTGAAATTTTCCTATCCGAAAACTCTCTTCCATCTGGGGAATCATCGTTCCACGGTTTCCTTATCATAGCAAATTTGTGGACTGGATCTTTCCCAGGTACAACCTTCCCGATTCCGGAATATGCAGAAGAAGCCTCAGAAAATCCCTTTCTATCTGTCGTAAGATTTAGCCAAAATTTAGCCAAATATCCAGCTGCAGCTGCTGCAACAAACCACGAATCCATTTCTGCTCATCCACGGAAATTTCAAAAACTACCCGAGCTTGACACCTCAAAAGTTGACCTTTATATCAATCCTCAACATCCAAAAGCTCAAAGCAACAATTTCCATGAAGCTCAACATGGTCTCACAAGATATACATGTTGAAAGTCAAAGTTTGCTTTTGGTGCATTAATGCACCGAAATTGTTGATAAAATGGCTGCACCGAAATTGTTGAAAAAAATGACATGGTAAAATCTTAAATTTAGTCTTTGTACTTTAGGATATTTACAAGATTAGTCCTTAAGCTTCAACTATATATTCCTTAACCCATTTAGCTTCAAAACCATCCAAAATCATTCTAGCTCTCTACCAATACTAGAGAAATTAGAGAGTTTTCTTGAGAGCAATTTTCAGTGAGTTGTGAGTGTTTTTGTAAACACCTGTAAATTTTCTCTCTTTAGTAAAAGATCTGTAGCAGTCTGGAGACGTATGCATAATTGGTCGAACTCCGTTATCAATTTTGGGTATTATTATTTCGCTTTTATTTCGTATTCTCACTAATCTGGTTATAGGAAAATTACTCATTTAATTTCCCAATAACTGGTATCAAGAGCTTTTAGTGATGAATTTTGTCAATTTTTTATGCAAGGTTACTATTTACCTAAATAGTGAATTTCGTGAATAGTAAAATTTGGTTGGCGATATGAATTTGTCGACGGATGTGACCTAATACACGGTGGTTCGCAGGAATTGCTAGAAACGATCCAAAAGAAGCCAGATTCGAGTGGGAGCGATGGCTGCAGATGAAGGGAATGTGAAAATTTATAAGTTCGATAGTGCGGACTTTGGCTTTTGGAAGATGTAGATTGAAGATTTTCTGTACCAGAAAAAAGCTATATCAACCTCTCTCAGGAAAGCAACCAGAGGGCATGAAGGATGAAGACTGAGCTCTTCTCGATAGACAAGCCCTCGGAGTTATCTGACTGACGTTATCCCGCAATGTTGCTTTCAACATAGAAAAGGAAAAGACCACGGCGGGTCTTATGGTGGCTCTCTCTAGTATGTATGAGAAGCCATCGGCCTCAAACAAAGTTCACTTGATGAGGCGATTATTCAATTTGCGGATGGCGGAAGGGGCATCAGTAGCTCACCACCTAAATGAACTCAACACAATCACAACCCAGTTGAGTTCCGTGGAAATTGAATTCGATGATGAAGTTCGAGCTTTAATTCTCTTATCATCTCTACCAGACAGTTGGAATGCTACTGTTACAGCAGTCAGCAGCTCGTCGGGAAATAGTAAATTGAAATTCGACGATGTTCGTGATCTGGTATTGAGTGAAGAAATTCGACAGAGAGAATCGGGTGAAACATCAAGCTCCTCAGCCTTGCACACGAAGTCTAGAGGGAGAACATCATAAAGAAATCCAAATCGTGGCAAATCGAAATCTAGAAGGGAAAAATCAAGAACGAGAAAGAAAGATTTTAACTGTTATAATTGCGGCAAAAATGATCACTTTAAAAGAGATTGTCGAGCACCGAAGAAAGATATCGACGCACAGGAATCTGCCAACGTGACAGAGGAAACAAGTGATGTCATGATTATAAGCGTCAACAGTCCGATTGAATCATGGATCTTGGATTCAGGGGCATCTTTCCATGCCACCCCATGCTAAGAAATCACGGAGAACTATGTCGGTGGTGATTTTGGGAAGGTTCATCTAGTTGATGATGAAACC